GGGGCTCGCCCGCCCGGCGGAGCCAGCGAGCGGGGGAGCGGCGGCCCTTCCGCGCCCTGGACGGGCCCCCGGGCTGCACCCGGGGAGAGCCCCCCAAACGGTGCCGGGGAGGACGGGGCTCTGCACAAACCCACCTGTCATCCTCGTCGGTGGCCGTGCCGTTTGCAAGTCAGTAATAACAGTTTGCACCTCTTACAGGGCTAATTCAGCTTTCTACGGCATTGCCTTATTTATTCAAATATTTATTTATTTACCTTCCCTCCCCCCCCCCTTCCCGAGAGCTGATGTGGCCCTTTGAAGTGGAAGAGAATAAAACAGTGTGACAGAGGGTGGGAGCCGGGAAAAGCAGGGCTGCTGTGACTGGGACGGGCCACGGTATTTAGCTGCGAGAAGCAAGTGTCTGCTTTCAAAATCCAAGCAGAAAACAGGGCGGAGGGCTGGGAGCGGGGCTGGGACGCTGCCTGCAGCCGCAGCGCGCTGTCAGCGGCGCGCACAGTCACATAAACAAGTAAATGAGGGAAATCGGAAATGCCAATTAATGTGCTATGTGCGGTGTTGGGAGAGCCTTTATTTCGCTATTGGTTGCCCGCAGGCGAGCCTCAACTTCCCTGCCCGTTCCTCTCCTGCAGGATGATTACGATGGAGGACGCGTAGGCCTCCTGGCTTTCTCTTGGCTTCGGGCACTTCAGGAATAAGAAAAATGCTCTAGACCAAGCAGAGGCGGGGAAGTGCGGTGCCTGCTCGGAGCAGGGATTGCTGCGGGGGCGAGGCGAGGGGGGGGGCCGCCCTCCCTGAGGCCAAATCACCCCCCAAGCTCTGCGGTCTGGCTTTCGTGCATCCTTTCTCCCGCTCTCTCGGCAGGACAGGACGCGGCTCTCGGGGGACAGGACCACGGGGTCTCGGCAGGACGCGGCTCTCGGGGGACAGGACAGGACGGCGGGTGGGGTTTCTCCGGGGCAGGGCTGGCTTTGCTGCCGGGCTCTGGGCTCGGCGGGCGCTAGCTCCTCTTTATACCCCCGTGCAACTGTCCTTCCTCCAGGCCTTACTTTAAAAAACAAGTTACCATTTTCTACGGAATCATTTACCCGGTGTATTCTTGATTAAATGACTGTTAACCCTAAGAGACTGATAGGACAATCAACATGCTTTTCCAATCACCATTCTTTCCTTGGTTGTTTTTTTTTGTCCCCGACGGGGAGTCTCGCTGTAGGTCAAAACCTTGCTTTCTAAAGCAATTAAGTCATATTTTCAAAGAGAATATTAGATTAAAAACACATCGTGATTAAAGCGTCGTGTAAAAGGTCTGCAGCGGGAAGAAAATATTTGATGCTCGTCTGTAGATTCTCTCACCTACCACCTACTCTGAATGCGTCCTGTATCTTCCAGCATGTCCGGCCCTCATGATTGCAAATAGGCCTGTTTTCAAATGGAAATAGGACTTCCAAACTGATTATGTGTATTGAATCGGAATCACTCGCTAGATCCTCTTGTTTAAAATGTATTGAAAAAAGCATGATGGTTGCACAGCTCTGAAACTGGCTCCTTCTCATCTCAGGGAGGTCGATCTATTTTGCAACTTTTTGCCATTTGAGAATGTTTCAGCTAGATAATTACGCTGCCATTGTGGAAGGGCGATGCACTGACACACAAACACCCCCTCCCCCGCTACACACACACACGCACGCACGCACACACACACTTCCCCGCCACCCCCCAGCGCATACACCTTCAGCCACCGCCGCGGAGCCTACTCCGTGCGCAGCGCACGTCGTGCCCGGACTCCCACGACACGAACACGCCCGCCCTCCCCGCGGCAGCGCAGCTTCGGCGCCTCGCCCCTGCCACTGCCACGCAAGGACGGCGTGTCCCAGCGCACCGCCACGCACAGCCTCCCCGTGACAGCAGGCACAAAATACACGATCCACCAGCACCCTCCCGAGCCCCACGGGCCAACACGGTTCCCACGTCTGGGTTCTGCTTCGTGAGCCACTATTTAAAGACAAGCAGTCTGTGTATGTGTGCGTGTCCATGGAAAAGCCAGAGCCAGGGAGCAACAGCTATTGCTCACACGCTGAAGAATGAGGACAACCTCCATGCAAAGGTTCCGTCTATTGATATGTAATGAGAGCTTTAAACCCTGTCATATGTTCCAAAGAATAATCCATTCAAATTCAGAAGGGTAATTAAAAAGCGAGGAGAGAAAAGGGGGGTCTGCACCGGGCAGAAAGCGGGCAGCCCCCCGCGCCCGGGGGAGAGAGAAATCGGCGGCAGGAAGCGGGGTCCCCCCGCCGCCCCCCCCCGGGGGGGGGCAGCTCCTGCCCCGCGCGCCCGGCCCGGCCTGCCC